GTGGCCCGGCAGTGCAGTGAGGATGGTACAAGTGCTTGGGCCCTGCACCCACATGGGAGACCAGGAGAAGCACCTGGCTCCTGCCTTCAGATTAGCGTGGTGCACTGGCTGCAGGACGCCAGCCACAGCGGCCATTGGAGGTGGACCAACAGTGAAGGAAGAGCTTTCTCTCTGTCTCTCTCTCTCTCACTGTCCACTCTGCCTGTCAAAAAAATAAAAAGTAAAATAAAAAATAAAACACTCCTATAAGTAAAATAGAAGATAGATTATGAAGTGAACTTTCTGATGTTATTTTTTACATATACATATTTGTCTTCTACATAACACACCTATTTGTTCAACAAATTTATTCATCTATTTGTACTTTTCACATGCAAACAGAACTTCATAAATATATTCTATATATGGGGAAAGAGTAGATTCAAATAAGCTGTGAGGAAAATCTAGGCAAAACCATCTGTAACCCAGAGGACATATCCTGTGCTAATTAATGTGCATCCTCAATAGTCTCATATATAAGAAATATGACCACAATTTCTGCTCCTTGATTCTTGCAGATTTTGTAACACACTGTATTTCCCAGAGTCATCTTAGGATATTATGTAGAACTCATTTCTACTTTCAAAAATATATCTCATAAGCCCATGGGCCACAGTGTATACAGGAATACAAATGTAATAACTACTATCCAATATGGCCATATATTCTGGTTTTTGCATAATTTCAAAAAACTTGACCCATTTGTTTATCTTTGTTTTCTCATGAGTTGCATTCGAATTCTTGAAGCACTTTGTCCTGCGTAACATATCAGTTGAAGTTCAACAGAAATCCCTGAAAAAGTAAGTCAACAAACAGAAGAGAATAAATGTAATGGGCTCTTAACTCCAGAAATCAATCCATGCATCTACAACCAACTTATATGTGACAAAGGAACTAAAATAAATCCCTGAAGAAAGCACAATCTCCTCAACAAATTGTGCTGGGGAAACTGGATCTCCACTTACAGAAGTGTAAAATTAGACCCATACCTTACAACTTACACAAAAACACACTCAAAATGGATCAAAGGCCTAAATCTATGACCCAAAACCATCAAATTACTAGAGAACATTGGGGAAACTCTGCAAGACTTTGGCATAGGCAAAGACTCTTGAAAAGACCCCAGAAGCACAGGCAATCAAAGCCAAGATTAACAAATGAGATTACATCAAGCCGAAAAGCTACTGCACTCCAAAGGAAACACTCAGCAAAATGGAGAGACTATCAACAGATGGAAGAAAGTATTTGCAAACTATGCAACTGATAAAGGGTTAACATGCAGTATCTACAAAGAGCTTAAGAAATTCAACAACAACAAAAAAATACAACCCCATTAAGAAAGAAATGGGCAAAGGACTTGAATAGCCAATTTTCAAAAGAGGAAATTCAAATTGCCAACAGACACTTGAAAATATGCTCAGGATCACTAGCCATCAGGTTAATGCAAATCAAAATCACAATAGTGGTTAGAATGGCACTCCAGTTAGAATGGCTCTCTTAAGAAATCAACAAACAAAAAAACTCTGTAACTAAAATTAGAGAAGAAATCAACAAGTTTGAATCAAAAAACATTACCAAAGATCAGCAAAACGAAGAGCTACTTTAAAAAAAGAAAACAAAATTGACAAACCATTGGCCCAACTAACCAAAAAAGGAGAGAGAAGACCAAAATCAATAAAATCAGAGAAGAAAAAGGGAATGTAACAGACACCACAAAAAAAAGAGTCATCAGAAATTACTACAAAGAGTTATATGCCAGCAAACAGGGAAATCTATCAGTAATGGATAGATTCCTGGACACCTAAGACCTACCTAAATTGAACCATGAAGATACAGAAAACCTAAACAGACACACAACCAAGACAGAAATTGAATCAGTAATAAAGGCCCTCACAACAAAGAAAAGCCCAGGTCCATATGGATTCACTGCTGAATTCTACCAGAAATGTAAAGAACCAACTCCAATCCTTCTCAAGCTATTCAAAACAACTGAAACAAAGGGATCCTCCCAAATTCTTTCTATGAAACCTGAATCACCTTAATTCCTAAATCTGAAAAAGCAGCAGCATTGAAAGAGAATTACAGACCCATTTCCCTGATGAACATAGACGCAAGAATCTTCAATAAAATTCTAGCCAATAGAATGCAACAACACATCAGAAATATCATCCACCCAGACCAACTGGGATTTATCTTTGGTATGCAGGAATTGTTCAACATTCACAAATCAAACAATGTGATACACCACATTAACAAACTGCAGAAGAAACCATATGATTATCTCAACAGATGCAGAGAAATCATTTGAAAAAATACAACACTCTATCATGATGAAAACTCTAAGTAAACTGTGTATAGAAGGAACACTCCTCAACACAATAAAGGAAATTTATGACAACCCACAGCCAGCATCCTATTGAATGGGGAAAAGTTGGAAGCATTTCCACTGAGATCTGGTACCAGACAGGGATGCCCACTCTCACCACTGCTATTTCATACAGTACTAGAAGTTGTACCCCGAGACATTAGGCAAAAAAGAAAAGAAAAGAAAAGAAAAGAAAAGAAAAGAAAAGAAAAGAAAAGAAAAGAAAAGAAAAGAAAAGAAAAGAAAAGAAAAGAGAGGAGAGGAGAGGAGAGGAGAGGAGAGGAGAGGAGAGGAGAGGAGAGGAGAGGAGAGGAGAGGAGAGGAGAGGAGAGGAGAGGAGGAGAGAAAGAGAGAAAGAGAGAAAGAGAGAGAGAAAGAGAGAAAGAGAGAAAGAGAGAGAGAGAGAGAAAGAGAGAGAAAGAGAGAGAGAAAGAGAGAGAGAGAGAGAAAGAGAGAGAGAGAGAGAAAGAGAGAGAGAGAAAGAAAGAAAGAGAGAGAGAGAAAGAAAGAGAGAGAGAGAGAGAGAGAGAAAGAAAGAAAGAAAGAAAGAAAGAAAGAAAGAAAGAAAGAAAGAAATCAAAGGGATACAAATTGGGAAGGAAGAAGTCAAAATATCCCTCTTTGAAGACGACATGATTCTTTATTTAGGGGATCCAAAGAACTCTACTAAGAGACTATTGGAACTCATAGAAGAGTTTGGCAAACATAACAGGATATAAAATCAATGCACAAAAATCAACAGCCTTTGTATACACAGGCAACGCCATGGCTGACAATGAAGTGCTAAGATCAACCCCAGTCAAAGTAGCTACAAAAAGAATCAAATACCTTCAAATAAACTTAACCCAGGATGTCAAAGAACTCTATGATGAGAATTACAAAACTTTAAAGAAAGAAATAGGGCCGGCGCCGCGGCTCACTAGGCTAATCCTCCGCCTAGCGGCGCCGGCACACCGGGTTCTAGTCCCGGTCGGGGCGCCGGATTCTGTCCCGGTTGCCCCTCTTCCAGGCCAGCCCTCT